TATTACGATATTTATGTATGTTCAATGCACAATGCTCTCAAAAAATTCAAAATAGCTTTCATTTATTAATAAAATAGATACAAATTAATAAAAAGGCGTTATATGTTTAAATATAAGCAACAAAAAATGGCACAATTGTTAATACAAATGACTTGAAATAATTAAATTTGTTTAAAAGATAAGTAATGAATTTAGAGAAATATGAAAAATTCACTAAGCGAGTCGAGACACGATTTCTTATTTCAAAGCGACATCGAAGTAAACTTTAGTTAGAATAGTATTTGTTTTGATATTTTAAATCCCTACTAATATTATTAATGCGAAAGTAACTCTGTCTGTCTGTCTGTCTGATACGCTTTCACCTAAACCACTAATCTGATTTTAATGAAATTTGGTACAGAGAAGGAGTTGATCTTGAGAAAGAACATAGGATAGTATTTATCCCAGACTTTTGAAATTTTCTCTTGGAAACTCCATATAACCGAACTCCACGCGGGCGAATCTGCGGGCGGAAAGCTAGTTTTATATAATTTTATTTAATTTTCAGCCCGTTATTGCATTACTAAATACAAAAGACGTTTTTTATGGCTTCATTCGCAATAAAATCATGGAATATTTTGCCAATGTCAACGTTTTTATTTGTTGGACGAATTATAATCTTGAATACTGTGTGGAGAAAACACGAAATTTGTCGAATGGAATAATGGTGTTCATTTAATTATTATAATTATTATTAGTTTTAATTCTAATCACATTATAATCAACATCTATACAAAAGCCTTAGTCTTAAATACGTAAAGAAACTAATATTGATGTACATAAGTATGACAAAACAAAAATATCAGTGTCAATGACCCCGACAGCTTGTCGCCAAAATTATTAACCCACATGAAATCCATTTGGACCATTGATAAAGAACAGTTAAGTTTTAAAGTGTGACAATTATAAAGCTCCTGTTTGTTTTAAAACTCCTTTGTGAATTACCAAAGCAAAATGGCGGAAAGCCTTGTCATTATCCCTACTAATATTATAAATGCGAAAGTAACTCTGTCTGTCTGTCTGTCTGTCTGTCTGCTACGCTTTCACGCCTAAACCACTGAACTGATTTTAATGAAATTCGGTACAGAGATAGAGTTGACCTTGAGAAAGAACATAGGATAGTTTTTATCCCAGACTTTTGAAAGGTTCTCTTGGAAACGCGATATAACCGAACTCCACGCGGCGAAGCTGCGGGCGGAAAGCTAGTATCAATATAAATTATAAGTAATTATTATTGCTATATGTAATTATATATTTTGCTACATTTCTGTCAAATATAATACTTAATTTATTTTTTTAATGAATTGTCGTTAACAAAACTATTTTATGAAATTAGGAATGTTTAATTTGACTTTTTTTTATGCTGTTGCATCATTGTGGAGGATTTTGTCAACGTCAACAAACTTTAACATTTTCAATTGACGTCTTCAAGGTGTCAAATACACGTGTTTTTGTTCAGATGATAGAAAATGTCACTTTATAACAAAAAACAAAAATAAAACGGGAAATAAGCTTTAAGAATCTTAAAACGGCTGTTAAATAAGTCGGCACAAAATCGAGTATACAAATATGATAATATAATTCATCTCACTAAAACCGGTATCCCGATAATAAACATTGTGGGTTTGTCAAATAAAATAAAGTGGAATTTAATGACTGTCAACATACAAACATTGTTATGAGCTGTTAAAATTAAAAACTCATTTGAGTTATTGACCTTAGATTTATTTTTAATACTTCCTGTGTTTATAAAAGTAAGATCAACAAAACAAGACAATCTTCTATTAAGAAAATCGGTTAGAATTCAATTCAATGACTTAACTTATACCTAATGTCAAACAATATGATTCTTATCGTATTTATAACATGTTCCGTTTTTCTTTAAAAATACATATGTCAAAGATTCCTTTTATTTAATTAATTGTGATAATCGTTTGTAGACTTTTCTGTTATACATTTGACCATAAATATATTAAAATATAAGAATTGCCAACCCAATTCCTGAACGTAATACCGAAGTGATTTTTAACGAGTCATATGTACTTTCTAAGAGTAAGTATTTATTTAGACACCACTGACAGACGGTGAAGGAAAACATCGTGAGGCAACCTGGACTTTTCATTTCAAATTATAAGTTTGAAATCACCAACCCATCTTGAGCAAGCGTGGTGATTAATGCTCAAACCTTTTCCATGTGAGACCTCTTCTCACATGGAAAAGGTTTTCTCAGCAATGGGTTCTGTTAGGCTGATGATGATGATAGCATCTTTAGAAAAGAATTTCTTATAATTTCTTAAATAATCTAAGTATTGTGTTACATATTTTAAGATTAAAGTTAAAATAAAAAAAAAATTGAAGTACATAAGTTTTTATCTGTGCACATTTTATATTAAAAATATATATTGTTAGTACTGATTTGGGTAGATTGACATTGCATTGACCCCATTGTACTATCGCGGGTATTACCAAGTATGTATTTCCTTCTGGAAAAAGTTATATTCAATATAAAGGTATATACATATATAGATATAAATAAAAACAAGTTTACAATAAAGAAGATATTAATAAACTCAATAGGACCCCAATATTCAAATATGTATGTTTTCGCCAATACCTTATATGAACTTTGTTGTAAAATTTACACTTTTTTTGAATTGTACATCTGAAGTATTGGCACTTTTTAATACAAAAATTAAATTTACAGACAAATTTAATCGTTTAACCAAAACTTATTTTTATAAAGCCTAATATATATACTTAAATATTTAAAGTAGGTTAACATTTATCAAAAACCAAGAATCGATCAATATTTAATAGACCAGGGATAGCTAAATATATATCAAGAACTGTAATGGTAATTAAAAAAGATATGGGACACGGTTCATATATATATTACATGTAATATAGTAAGCATATAATTACTTAATTTTAAAGTCATTCAATTTTTTACACAAGTTTTTAATCAAACTCAGATATTCGTTCAGGAATTATAATATACTTAATTATGAAGAATTCCTTACTTCATTATATGACAACTACTGTTGCTTTCGTGTATTATTATCGAATATGTGAAGAAGATTAAATATAAAACGATTTAAAGACATTTTAATTTTTTAAATGTGCAACGGAAATATAGCGATATCATTTAATGTATACGAAAAATTGTGATATAATGGTAACATTATTAGAATCGCAATTATTTATTATTACAAACAGAAAGAATGTAATGAGAGCTTGAATTAGGGTTGCCAACCGTACTCTAAAATAGAGTATTGTACTCTATATCATGTAAGCGTACTCTATAATCTATAACACTAATAGAGTACGCTAAAATACTCATTTTCTACACATTTTTACTAGTCAAATAATATTATGCAAAAACCTAAATACAAAACCAAAAAGTTCGACTATTTACTGTTCATATGTTGGTAATTGGTATCCCCAAATTTCCTCCAACTACATTCAAACCACCACCACCAAGTGTTGATGGGGATTGCCCTATGATTATTCAAAATCTATTGATGTTAGATTGTAAGCATTATTTAATTGAAATTTATCTACATTTTGCCAGCCATATCATATTTCACAAAACTATTAAATCTCTTGAAGGTAACTCTGTCACAGTTGTAAATGTTTTTGGTTTAATGGAAAGTTTAAAATCAGAATTACTGCAAAGACAAAAAGACAAGTATTTTGGCCATACAACAAAACAGAAATTAAAACTTATTAAACAATCATCACCTGATTTGTTTAATCAGATAAACACGAATTTTTCATTGCGTATAGACAATATTTAATTTATTTACAAAAATGGTTTTATTTTAGTAGTGATAACTGGCTATATTCACTAAATACAATATCTTTAAAAACTAATGTTGAATTTAATAATTTAGAAGACAATGTAGAAGAAAACTTATTTTATAAAGACTAAAAATAGACAGTTTATATTCAGAAGCTATAATTTTAAAAGAACTCCAAGCTGAATTATTAAATAACTTTCTGTTCCCGCCACTTCAGCATTTACTGGAAGAGTCTTTTCGGTCATGAATGTGAAGTGGTGAGAAGAGAGAAACAGAGCTTCATTGAAATTAATTAAAAGTGAGCTCTTGATCTATATAAATTTACAGTTAGAATGTTTGGACTCATACAATTCTTTTAAAAGCAAAGAAAATTTGTTATGCGCTGTAAAAAGTACAAAAAATACCTTTTTAACAATATGAAATATATAATACTCTTTTTTTTTAAGTCCATACTCTTTATTTTTCTCCTTTGAAATCAGATATACTCTATTTCTTCTAAAAAAAGTTGGCAACCCTAGCTTGAATGCCAAATATAATTATCCTTTTAGTGCAAATACTGCTTTTCGCACAAATAAGATTCGGCAATAATAATTAATTTAATTAAGTAAGGCAAACCTTCCTAAAATTTTCAGTGTCATTAGCCTTACAGTTTTACTTTTTCATCTTTCTCAGGAGCTCAATTGACTTTTTCATATGTCTTTTTATAACAGGGAATTCTCATTACGCTTTAATTAGAGATCCTATGCGGTTTCAAATGTCATTTGTTAAAACAGTGCCCTCTATCGTTCATGAGCATGTTCTCAAAGACTTAATTTTACGTGACTTAAAACGTATCATTTCTAAATTATTATTTTTAAAAATTTTATTCCAATAAACCTTATAAAATATATTTTAGCAAATAATAAACATCTGTACTATTAAAGAATACCTTTTAGAACTTTCATCTTATGTTTTTTATCTGTAATGGAAAACAGTTTTTGACGTTTAAAAAGCCGGTCAAATATCAAGTAGACGACTACAGTCTACAAATCACAATTCATACATGTCAGTCAAGATACCAACGAAAATATAATTCAAGCGTTAAGTTCGAGCTTTAAAAGAAAGTAAGAAGGCAATGATTACGGCTGTCTAGTCATAAAAAGTATTGGAATTATTATAATCATGGATGATCAAGCATGTCCCCGTTGTAAAACAACGAAATACAGAAATCCATCACTAAAGTTGATGGTAAACATTTGTGGCCATGCTTTATGCGAAAGTTGTGTTGATTTATTGTTTTTAAAAGGTAATTTATATAATATATATCTATTTAGTAGTATTATATCTATTTAGTATAACCATTAGTAAGTTTAAATGGTTACAATAAAACTTATATATTTATCATTTTTATATTACAGGATCTGGTTCTTGTCCTGACTGCAATGTTCCGTTACGTCGTAGTAATTTTCGTGTACAGCTTTTCGAAGATTCCATGGTGGAAAAAGAAATGGATATAAGAAAACGTGTTCTTAAAGATTTCAACAAAAAAGAGGAGGATTTCGCAACACTCAGAGAATATAACGATTATTTAGAAGAAATAGAAGTTATAATATATAATTTAGTCAATAACATAGATGTTGTCGGAACAAACAAAAGGATAGAACAATATAAAAAGGATAATAAAGAACTTATTATGAAAAACAAAGCCAAGATCGGTGAGTATTAATAAATATTATATTAAAATACTGTCTCCTACATCAGTTAATGATATCTAAGATTTTACCGATAATACATTCAAGAGAAACTAATGTCTTTATATTTACTGCATTATTATAAAACTCATTTCTATATAACTGAATTAGACATTTTAACAAACTTTTTTGTTACTTAACAGCAACTATGATCATTCCTAGACAATAATTTAATATTGTCGGCCCATGATTACAATGAAACATCAAATTAAAATGTATAAAAGTATAATAATAATTAGTGCCAACATTCATACATACATACATCATACATACTAACATTTTTAAATGTTTTGTCCATATTTAGGTAGGGAAGAAATAGAATTAGAGGAAATATTAGAGAATGAAAAACAAATGGAGGAATTTAGACGACAGGAAATAGCTAAAATGGAGGATGAGGCAAAAAAACAGAAAATAAGGGAAAAAGAGGCTCTGATAGATGAATTAATGTTTGCCGATGGTGATGCTAAAGATATATTGAACACATTCGCACAAACAGTGGCAAATAAACAAGAAGAAGTTGTACCGCTGCTACCTAAAGTATGCTTACTATTAATATATACAGGGTGACTGGTGAATTACTATCGATACTTGAGGACGTGATATTTGACGATCATATATGACAAAATAAAAATTAATATAACATAAATATTAATAAACTTGTAAGTAAAGTTAACCAAAAGTTATGTAATTAATTACGCATCGTATGAACACCCTACAGATTAGGTATACACTGACACTCACACATACGCATGTCGTGACGTGGTGCTGTATCAGCACGCCGCCGCACGCGTCCACACTTGAACACTTGGAACGTGTCAACACTTTATTTATTTATACGGAAATTTTGTCAAAAATTAAGTGCCTATTTTTTTTACATAATTCGAATGAGAATCATGTACCGAGTATGCTCCTTAAATATTGATAGTAATTCACCAGTCACCCTGTATATATATTTTCGTATAAAAAATTATTATTCCACTTGTATATATATTATATACATTTTAATGTATGTATATTATAAATTCCTAGTTTGTGGTATCGGTTTATAATATTTATAGCTTGAAATTACATGATATATGTATATAAAATGCTATATTTAATATTTTAAATGACTGTTAATAAATAGAGAAATATTAAATGGGAAATAAAATGTAACTTTTATATGTGATTAAACTAACTATATGACTCATAATTGTAACAGAAAGGAATCCAGATAATTGTATAGTTAGATTAATATTGCTATTGTAATATATATGTATTTAGCCAATATTTTAAATTTTCTTTTGATATATTTGATTGAGTTTCTCCATTTACATATATAAAAATGGACTGTACATTTTATAAAATCATTATTAATTTAAAGGGTTGATATTGGGAAAGAGTCAAAAATCAACTATTCATGTACTTAAAGATTAATATAAACAATCAAGTATTATCAGTTTGATGCAATACATGTATCAATTATTACAAATTTTTATTTATAAATAAATTTTTTAAGTTTATTTTATAAGAAAATCATTTTAATTAATATATTTTATTATCACAGGTGACACAATTTTCATCGGGTGTGAAATTCACAAGAGGTTCAAGCCAAGCATTACCTATAATAGAAGAAGGGCCTCTTTATAAATATGAACCGTTAGAAATACCTGATAGATGTGGACCCGACCCTCCCTCGTTAGAAGAGATCATGAAAAATGGTTTTCTGCATCATGTTAGGTATGTATTGTATATGTTCGTTAGTCTCACTAAAACTCGAGAACGGCTGAACGGATTTATCTTATATTAGTCTTGAAATGTTCGTGGAGGTTCAGGGAAGGTTTAAAACCTGAAAAAAGTTTATTAAATTCCGTAAAAACAGCCCTTTTCCATTTCCCATACAAACGTGTTTTTTTTTGACATTAGATTTGACAACTAACTAATATGTCAATCATTCTGTCGCACTTCAAAACGGAGATTTATGGCTTAAAGGTAAACTCCAAAAATATAAATAAAAAAACGTAATAGATATATCTTGATTATAGAGCGATACGAAGTTCGCCGGGTCTTCTAGTTGTATATATAATTGGTGGGTGTTGTTATATAATATGTCAAGTATAATGTATATAGAACACTTTATTATATTAGGATCTGTCATTGAGTCTTACTATTGAACACAATACATATAACCAAATTAATATAGTTTTTTTGTAAATACTATATGTATATGTATGACTTGATATATATAAATGCTTAGAGAATGGATATTGTTTGTCACTATTTCAACAAAGGAACAAAGTTGTCACTTAAGTTGATATTGTGATTTAAACCCACAAAATAATAAAGGTTTCTCTTAAAAGCCACAAATTAAAAAAGGTTTTGTTTATTAGTCGTCATTTAAATAAATGTTAGTTTTTACTACATTTTAAGATTTTGTTAATATTCTGAATAAACCATCTATATTATTATAATTCGTATAAGATAAAATCTCCGTATGTTCTATTTGACTAACTAATGAAATAGGTTGTTCCATTCAGCCTGAAAAAAAAAATTCACTTTATAACTAACTAAATAGGTTGTATATATTTTCACAGAGCAGAGAACGAGACAGAGAAAGCAGGTGGCTATACATCTACTCTACCATGTTTGAGAGCACTACAAGATGCTCTGTCAGGCCTCTACCATGCTAGCTGACATCCACCCATAGTTGACACCATAGTGCTTGATTAATTGTTATTTGTTTTATTTAATAAAAACTTTTTGGTTCGGTTTTACTTTTATTTTGTTGAATCGTGTTGCTAGTGGGAAAAACTAAGTGAGGATGAATGGCAATTAAGTTATGGTGTTTTTTTTTATGATTTTCTTGGTGAATCTTTCTGTGTTGTATATTGTTGTTTATATATGTTACTTGATTTAATATTTGTACATACACTAATTTTGTTTCTGCAAATAATATTTGTAAGTATTATATTAAAGATAAATACTGTTAAAATGTATTTGTAAATTGAATTTTTAGTTCAAAGGGAGTAATTATGGTTATATGGGTTTAGTATGAAAAACTACACAACTATTAAGTGTATGTATGTATGTTTAAATTGTTAGCTGTTAATATCTCCTATAAAAACTATCCTCTCTGTAAGTATGAATTTTCTATACATGTGATTAGAATTCATTGAGGCTCGGCGAAAATGGGTCAGCGATGGTGACTTAACACACTTTAGTCTCTGAAACTACTGTAGTGAAAGTAACTGTCTGTCTGTCTGTTACGCTTTCACGCCTAAACCACTGAACTGATTTTAATGAAATTTGTTACAGAAATGGAGTTGACCTTGAGAAAGAACGGATAGTTTTTATCCCAGACTCTTGAAAGGTTCTCTTGGAAACGCGATATAACCGAACTTCACGCGGGCGAAGCTGCAGGAGGAAAGCTAGTACAAAATATATTAAAAAGTGTATTAAGTCACCGTCGCTGGCCACCGGAGGCACATTTGCGGCGAGTCTGAGTTAGAATTAGCGTGTTATTGTTACTAATATAATATGTATGTCTGTTAATATGAAACGAAAACTACTAAACAATGAACCCACAGAGATGTTAAATAAAACTTAATAATTGTGAACGTATAAAAATAAATATTTTTTGATCATTATATTATAAGACTGAGTCATATGTTTTATTACAATTGTTTGAATGCAATTAGATTTAATAAAATGTATAAATTTAGGTAAATACGATAAAGCTGTCATTACCAATAATTTAAATCAGAATTAAATTTTTTGTTGTGAAGAATTTTACTGAATAAAGTATATATTATGTGAGAATGTTGCCAGTTTTGATAAATAAAAATAATATATTTTTTATTTGTGTCCACACTAATATTAACTCTATATTTGATGTACTAAAAACCGTTGACAAGTTGTTGAAAAATCTTTTGCCCGCGTTTATTCTGAATGGATTTAAAAATTATCATGAAATTTTAAAAATAAATATGTTAAATAACTAACTAGCAGGGACATCTATATTTTATTTTATGACTTTATTCTACATACAATTATCATGTTTTAATAAATTAAAGTTTATATGATCTAATCTCTGAGCTACACAAGTTGAAATTTTAATCAAAATAAGGAACTTCGTTCCAATAAGCTAAGTAGTTTTTGTGATAAATATCTATACAAAAATTTCGCGTTTTTAGTACCTAATAGTTACATATTTGGGTTCCCAAGTCTCCTCCTTCAAATTACCTCATAATACTATTGTTGTGCCGTGGTTTTCCTTGCAATTAAATTTTTTAAAGAAAAATTTTCCGACTGATCCTTTTTACATAAGTTTTTTTACAATACTATTTGTTGAAGTTTATACTATTCGTGACTAAAAGCAGATAATATCTCTTTGATAATAGTTCACATCATAAAATGTGGTATGCCGCTTCTTTTGAGCCGTTTAAGGTAAACGGGAATTTGCTTACATCTAAAACGCTTTAATAATTTTCCATATATTTATAAAATATAAGTTGCACACAAAATAATGTTATTTTTAAGTGCTCCCAATTTTACTTTACGCAATTTTCCAGCATTTATTCCCTAGCGGATGATTTAAATTAATTTCATAAATAAGAAGACCTATATCAAATTGTTGACATTTTTCAGTTTGGTTTGATACACACTTTTATGACGAAGACTATGTATTGTCGAAGAGGTAGAATAAAACTATGACGGAGGATAATATTTTTATTATCCTCCTAAAGTTAAGGTTAATTTCTTAATTACAAACTAAACCTCTGTGAATTCTAACAAATTAGATACCCAATGGAAACGCATATATACGTTTTAAACATAGTTGTTTCTTAATTTAAGCATGTTTGTACCAATAAGTTAAAAGAAATAGATCATGTTTTAAGTAGTAGGTATATGCTTTGATTACTTCCTTTATATTTTTTTTATAACATTAGACTTTATTTTATGAAGGTTACATCTATTGACGCTTCGTTTCGCTCCAAATATGACTCAAGTTTATTTAAGTCACAACTTATAGAGTAAGAAAGAGCTTATTAATTTTCATCTCAAGCGGTATGGCAGTCAGATAATCCTTTCTTCTTCGATAAAAATATGCTTTTGTTTAATAAAAATGCTGTATTAATGATAATTTATGTATGTAAGATATTTGAAATATAAATTATTCATAAGTAATTTAAATAAATTAATAAAGCGAGGCATGAAAAGATTAAAACAAGATTGTTTATAAGTGAAAGTAATTTCAGGAGTAAATTTAAATGAAAGTATAGTTGACGGACTTTCTTCTTTATTTTATAATGTTACTTTATTAAGTAGTTACTTATCATGCTCACGGGCAGACGAGAAATATAAAATATTTTTCTATTGTTTTTTTATATCTAGCGTTAACGACGTTTTAATATTTCTACTGCCCTACGTGCAAGCAAATTCGTTGTGTCATGAACACTCATAGTGTTATGACGGATATGGTATAGGTATATTTTATTGTTGATGAAGAGTTCTTAGAAAACATGATGAGATTCCAAATAGCTATATTTTTTATTGAAATAATAATAATAATTCTTTTGGTTTTGCTACAATGAGAGTAATCTAACCCAATTAGCTATGCTCCATTTAACATGATCTAGTTTTACAGACATTAAATAAAGCCGAATATTAGAACTAGAAATAATTTCTTTATAATACACGAATACCAAATACTTTTACCACATGCAGTATTGTCATCTCTAAAATCTGTTTAACGCCCGTTTGCACTCACTGACGAACGCTAATTATACACTAAATGTATTTTAAATTTAAAATATATTTCGGAACTTCAAATATATGAAATATTTATAACAAAATACTTCCACATCACGTATTAGGAATACGAATTACATATTACATTTTAAGTTTACAATTGATGTATTGAAGTATAAGTAAGTTTTAAGTACCAAAAACGTAATTTTAATTCAATTATGTATTTTATTTACAAGTTAATTAAATACTACCTAACCCTCGCCGTTCCTTACGTGTCAATGTTTATACATTTTAACATTCTCCTTTTTATAGATCTTTAGGCTTTAACATACTGTTTAAAGATAATTTATATTTATCGATTTTACTAGTGAAGGCTTACAGTACCACTTGTTCTAAGTTATATACCAAAATTTCTTAATTTTTCATGATATCTAAAGCGACGAATACGTTAAAAATTCACGACTATTCTATCTCCATTTAAAAAACTCATGAAGATCTACAAATTGCTATTAATTCAGGTGTCTGCTAAAGTTTGGTTTGCTGATTATAATAGTCACATTGTTGATTGATTGTTTGGTTTCCTATACTTGAGATTTAACTGCAGTTAGTGCATTTGGAGAATAGATTTGACATTATATACATTATTGTGACTGTAAGAAGACTTTTCGTCTTATGCTAATTAATTAAAGGAAAGAATTTGATGTAAGAAGTTTACAAGCGGATGGTTTTGCTCGTCTTTGTGTATTCGCCGCATTTTGTTTTATTCATAAAACGTTTTAGTTTTTCTCAAAGCCTTTAATATAATTAAGCAACTAACTACTGAGAGACCGCAGCCCTTTATTTGGAAAAAAAAACTCTTGGTACGCCAACGGAATGTAAGAGTGATATTTTTTTCTTGACAGGAATTAACAAATTTTTGTAATGAAAATTCTTCTAACCTCGCTGTATTTTATTTATATTTAAATGAATTGAAACATCAGTCTTTTAGCAGTAGCTAATTCCAGGTACGATGTTTTGCAAAAAATTTTCTCATGAGCTACCTCCTGATTTATTAAAGCACAAGTTTTTGCCCGCAATCCCGTACAATTGAACATTAGAGTTTGTGTTTAATGAGAAACATATTAAGTAAATAGTACACATAGTAACCTTAGTTGTAGCATTTTCATTAACAATAATCTAGATATCAAGCGCAGCGCCATCTGTTGGGCCGATTTGTGAATCAGAACCATCTGATTCGAACAAATGCATACAAAAAAATTAATTCAAATCACTCCTGACCTTTAAGAGTTCAAAGAAATACACAAGTACGCAATAATTATATATAAATTTAGTTCATATTTGGAATATTGTTTCCAATAGATATGTCTGTAAACGTTGCATTGCATTAATGGATTTCTTTACACATACGATTGCAAGGAAACGAAGAGGCTGAAAATTCAGCAAAAACAAATGAATAATAGAAAGATAAATGTCTAACCAAATTATTGGGGAGTATTGCCAATAGTCAAAAATGTATTTTATCGAATCTAGAAGTGTTATAATGACCGGTTTAAATAGATATTTAATGAATCTTTAGATTTTCGCGAGTATTCATCGAAATAAGACTAATGTTTTTCCGATTTACTATGTACTCGTTTATAATTATTTTTAACAACATATACCCTGTTTTGGTTAGTTTGCAGCAACCGTGATCAAATCTCGTCTGCCCGTGATTACAGTTTACCTATACAATATAAGCCTCTGACTTTCCCCTCGATTTGTGGAAAGTAATTGTTACAAAGCGAATATTTTCATCTCATATGTCCGTGAACAGTTGCCGTAATGTAACCTAAACTCTTAAAATCTGAAATAAAATAATGAAAGCACATAATATATACGAAAAATGTTATTTCATCTCTAAAAATATATAATAATTATAAAAAAGAACTAGTTTTTATCCGTGA